CCATTCGTCAGTTGATAGACATTTAGGCTCTTTCCATGTTTTAGCTATTGTTGAAAGTGCTGCTGTGAACATTGGGGTACATGTGCCCCTATGCATCAGCACTCCTGTGTCCCTTGGGTAAATTCCTAGCAGTGCTATTGCCGGGTCATAGGGGAGTTCTATTGTTACTTTTTTGAGGAACCTCCACACTGTTTTCCAGAAGGGCTGCACCAGTTTACATTCCCACCGACAGTGTAGGAGGGTGCCCGTTTCTCCACATCCTCGCCAGCATCTAGAGGCTCCTAATTTGTTCATTGTAGCCACTGTGACTGGCGTGAGGTGGTATCTCAGTGTGGTTTTGATTTGTATTTCCCTGATGAGGAGGGAGGCTGAGCACCGTTTCATGTGTGTGTTGGCCATCTGGATGTCCTCTTTGGAGAAGTGTCTGTTCATGTCTTCTGCCCATTTCTTCACTGGATTGTTTGTTTTCGGGTGTGGAGTTTGATGAGTTCCTTATAGATTTTATATACTAGCCCTTTATCTGATATGTCATTTGCAACTATCTTTTATTCTGTCAGTTGCCTATTAGTTTTATGGATTGTTTCCTTTGTTGTTCAGAAGCTTTTTATCTTGATGAGGTCCCAATAGTTCATTTTTGCTCTGGATTCCCTTGCCTTTGGGGATGTGTCAAGTAAAAATTTGCTGTGGTTGAGGTCCAGGAGGTTGTTTCCTGCTTTCTCTCTAGGGTTTTGAAGGTTTCCTGTCTCACATTCAGGTCCTTCATCCATTTGGAGTTTATTTTGGTGTATGGTGTAAGAAAAATGATCTAGTTTCATTCTTCTGCACGTTGCTGTCCAGTTCTCCCAGCACCATCTGTTAAAGAGGCTGGCTTTTTTCCATTGGATACTCTTTCCTGCTTTGTCAGAGATTCACTGGCCATACATTTGTGGGTCCAATTTTGAGTTCTCTATTCTATTCCATTGGTCTATGTGTCTGTTTTTGTGCCAATACCATACTGTCTTGATGATGACAGCTTTGTAGTAGAGGGTAATGAGAGAAAACCATTTTGGTTTTCTTCTTCAATATTACTTTGGCTACTCAGGGTCTTTTGTGGTTCCATAAAAATTTTAGGATTGTTTGCTCTAGCTTTGAGAAGAATGCTGATGTGATTTTGATTGGGATGGCATTGAATGTGTAGACTGCCTTGGGTAGTATTGACGTTTTAACAGTATTCTTCCAATTCATGAGCATGGAATGTTTCTCCATTTCTTTGTGTCTTCTTCAGTTTCCTTTATAAGTTTTCTATAGTTTTCATCAGACAGATCTTTTACATCTTTGGTTAGGTTTATTCCTAGGTATTTTATGGGTTTTTTTGTGCAGTTGTGAAAGGTCTCAGCTTCTTGATTTCTTTTTCTGTTATTACCTCATTATCCTAATGTTTGTTCTTTATTTTAAAAATGTTTATTTTTAGAGAAAGAGCATGAGTAGGGGAGGGGTAGAGAGAGGGAGATAGAATCTGAAACAGGTTTCAGACTCTGAACTCTCAGCACAGAGTCCAACACGGGGCTAAACTCACAAATCAGGAGATCATGACCTGAGCAGATGTTGGACGCTCAACCAGCTGAGCCACCCAGGCGCCCCTAGTATTTGTTCTTCTGATTGAATCCCACAGTTCACGTAGGCTTTCTTCAGTCTTTTTCATTGTTTCTGTGTTCTCCACTAATTGGGTTATTTCAAAATTCCTGTCCTGTAACTCAGTTATTCTGTTTTCCATTTGCTACACTGAAGATGTGCTGTTTTGCATTTTTCATTTCATTTGTAGAGTTCTTCCATGCCACAATTTCTACTTCATTCTGTGTGTGTGTGCGCGCGCGTGTGTGTGTATGTGTGAGAAAGAGAGAGACAGAGATTTCTCTCCTTGGGAAGTATCTTGATTTAAACCTGTGTTTTTCCCCCATTTCACTGAATTGTCCGAGTTTTCTTGTAGCTCTTAGAGTTTCCTCAAAACAGTCATTTTTTTACTTCTTTATTAACAAGATCATAAAATTCCATGCTTTTAACCTTGATTATTGGAGAATTATCTTTTGATAGTGGCATATTCTGGATTCTTTTCATGTTCCTTGTATTTTTGCATTGCTGCTCTTGCATTTGAAGTAGTAGACTTCTTGGGGAGCCTGGGTGGCTCAGTCGGTTAAGCGTCTGACTTTGGCTCAGGTCATGATCTCATGGTTCGTGGGTTCAAGCCCCACATCAGGCTCTGTGCTGACAGCTCAGAGCCTGGAGCCTGCTTCAGATTCTGTGTCTCACTGTCTCTCTGCTCTTCCTCCATTCGTGCTCTGTCTCTGTCTCAAAAATAAAAAATAAACCATATAAAAAATTAAAAAGAAGTAGCAGACTTCTCTTTAAAGCTTTGTTAGTTGCCTTCAGTAGGTCCTGGGGTATTATGTGGGGACCTCTGACAGGATGGCACACCTGTTCCACTCCTCTGTTCCCTCTTGTGGCAGAATTCTTAAGCTTTAGGTCATCTTTGGATCTTACAATTCAGTTTACTGACTACTGGAAGGAAACCTCTCCTGCTTTCCAGAAGGTGGCATGACGTTTGTGGCTTCTTCCCTGCTGCGGGACCTGGCTGTGTTCTGACCTCAGAGCTTGCTCTGGCTATTGAACTCGGGAACACAAGGAGCGGCTGCAGAGCAGGGAGTCATGTGGTTTCCCCTCGGGGGCCCTGGGCGCACCCTGGATCCGGCGCAGAAGTCCCCACGTGTGGTGCTCCCAGACGCTGCTGGTGGACTTCTTGCTCAATGCCGTCATCAGAAGCTGCATCTACTCACTGCCCTTTGACAGTCTCTGCCTGTGTCCCCTCCCTCCGTCTGCCAGTTACAGAGGACTGTGGGTCCTGCAGCTGGGCCCTGCGACACCAGGGGGGCCCGGCTTACCTGCGGCGCGCCTCCTCTCCTGCGCAGAGGTCTCTGCTGCCTCCAGTCAGTTCCATGCTGTCTCCCCTTGCCGGGGTGGGGGGGGGGGTGCAAAGCTGGGAACCAAAGTGCGTGAAGGGTTCCTGGATGTCTGCAGTTGCTCTGTCTTCTGTGGGTGTCTGCCCAGGCCGACACTCTCCAGGGAGTTTTCTGACTGTGGCAGGAAGGGCTGGGGCACGTGCCTCGCTCCACTGGTTCGAGAGCCCAGAGAGAGGTCTGCCGCCTGTTACTGGGTGCACAGGGGAGGGGACTCTCCTGCGTCCCGGGCACACGGTGCTGGATCCCACAGCAGCCATAAAGGCCCTCTGGTTGGTGGCTAGAGGTCTGATTCTTTGTCCAACGTCTTACCATGATGCTGACGTCAGTCTAGTGTTCTTTTTCTTGTCCTAAACCTAATTTCCCTGGTCTCTTTTTCTTTTCTCCTCCATTAACAAACTTCTCGGGTCATGTTCTCTGATCTTCACTCCCTGCACCGATTCCTGCCTCCTGTGGGCCCTGTGCACTTAACCTTGGTTACCTTCTGGTGGTGACAGTCACCCCTCTGCCTGTCCTTTGGTGTCAGCAACCACATCAAATCTCCTTCATCACTGGGAAGGAAAAAAAAAAAACACTTTTTTTTTTTTTAAAGCCCTGTAGACCCCCTTAGCAAGACTTTTTCTTTTACAATTCTTCCTGATCTTAAAAGCAATGTGCGTAGTAAACATACGAAGGAGAGAAACGAGCCATCGCCATGGATACTGGCCCGTCTGCAGTGCTGCTGCTCCAGCGAGCTCCTGCTCACCTTCCGTACGCCGTTCCTAAGCCTTCCCCAAGCCTTCCCTAACTCTTCCCTTCTAAATTTTGTGCTTTCTCTTTATCCTATACTCTTGTATTTTTTTCTTCATTGCACCCAAGTCTGGTTTATAAGTAGAACGTTGTATGTATTTGATACCCTCACTAGATCAGAAACTATACGGGAACAGGGAATGTCCTCATTATTAGATACTCAGCATCTAACACTGGTGCTGTAGATCAAATATTTGTTAAATAAGCAAATTAATGGTGTTTGCACTGTGTCTTCTGAATCTCCTTAGCATTCTCCACCTTCGGTTATATTCTGCTCTGTTTCTGGAAGGCAGGGTTGTTCTCATTGCACGACTTTATTGAGCCACCTATATACAGTCTTCAAGGGGCTGGTGTTAGGAACATGGCTCTCGACTTTGAGCAGCTCTGGGCCTCAGCTCTCTCTCTAACGTGAGATTAAGAAGTTGGATTGGATAAGAGTTTTCAAACCACCCTTTGAGACCCACAGTGATCTCTAAGATCCCTTCCCAGAGCTGCCTAAGTGAAATGTCTATTTAGAATGTGTTGACTGAATGACTGAATTCTGAGCTCTAAAATCTCAGACTCTGAAACACACCAAGAACCTACCCTCAGCTCAGATTCTGGCAAAACCAGATTTTCTTGTCAGCTCCTAGGTATCAAGTAGGCCTTCATGTGCATGATGATTGCCCACAGGTAAGGCAGTGATCCCCCCCCCCCCCCCCGGGGTAAGACAGAGGCCTTCTTTCAGACTGCTCCGTCTACTACGGGTAGTCACCAGCCCCGTGTGAATGAAATGTGGCTAGTCCAAATGGGGATGGCTAAAAACCTAAAACCCACAATGGGGTTTTGAAGACTTAGTGGAAAACAAGCATGTTAAATATTTTGGACATCTTAGATTAAGTTGTGTTAAAATTGTCACCTCCTTTTTAAACATGGTTATTAGAAAATTTTAAATTACTGGGGTGCCTGGGTGGCTCAGTCTGTTAAGCATCTGACTTTCGGCTCAGGTCATGATCTCACAGTTTGTGGGTTCGAGCCCTGTATCGGGCTCTGTGCTGACAGCTCAGAGCCCGGAGCCTGTTTTAGATTCTGTGTCTTCCTCTCTCCCTGACCCTCTCCTGCTCACGCTGTCTCTCTCTCTCTCAGAAATAAAAATTTTTTAAAAAAGAAAATTTTAAATTACCTATGTGCCCCACATTCTAGGCTTTCATCTGACAGCATTGTTTTGTGGTTTTTACTTAGCGCAATAGTGGTTAATTTATGTGCCCTTCAACGTCCTGCCTCTGAGCTGTGATCCCTGGCCAGCAGAATCCACATCACTTGGAAGGTGACGAAAAATGGCACAACTCCTGCTCCACCGACCCACCAGGTCAGACTCTGCAGCTGAGAGCCCCAGGTAACCTGAGTGCATGTGGAGTCTGAGATGGTCTGATTTAGGTCACAGTCACAGGACCGCCGTTGCCTCCCTGCCCATCAGACTTCTGTCTCTCCAATTCCATGCATCAGAGATTCTTAACCCAAGGGACTTGGACCGCTCCGGGCGGGGGGAGCCTATAGATGGGCCCCAGGAATCTAATATACTAAAATTTATGCGGTCTCTTTTGTGAACGCAGGTGTATTTTCATGAAAGGATGACCCCGTCACCAACACCTGGGAAGCTGTGAGCAGTGCAGGTGCTGGGGCCCAGCAGTGTCCTGATGAGCACCCTGCGGTCCTCCTGTCCGAAGTCTGAGAACCCCTGAACGAGGTACCGAAGGCACAGATAGGGCTGAGCCACACCCCCTCCGTCTGGTCGAGAGGGTGATGCAGACCTGTGTAGATACAGGCATCACAGGTGGATTCGAAGCAAGATGTGGTGAACATGCAGCCTACAGCATAAAAAGAAAATTTATAGTCAGACCTAAAATTTTCAAGAATTGGTCCGAGTATTTTCAGTCTTTTTGTGGACCAATAAAGGTAAAGTCAACTCAAATGTTTAAGTGAATGATGTTTAAGTCACTGGCTCCACAGGAAGTTGAAGTCACCAGTGGATAAACCCATAGTATAGGGTCACCATGCAGGTGACCATGTCTGCTTTCGGATAGGGGAAAGGACGAGACCAACAATGTATTAAAGCCAGTTTTTTTTAAATACATTTATTAACCAATGTTAACACATTAAATGAATCTATATATTGCTAGTCAGAGCAGCTTACAAAATGCCAGAATGCATCATAGAACTGGACAGCCACAATGAGTAATTACAATGTGCATAGTGGCCAAGCTCAACACCTTGATATAGCTTTATGATTTGCAGAAAAATTTTAATAGTGATTCCTAAAACAATCAGTTGTAATTTTACCTAAAACTTTTACAAAACCAGGCCACAATCTCTTTTTTTAAATTTTGTTTTTTTTTTTTTAAACACACAGTTTTCACGCTGTAGTAACTTGGAAATGTTGCAACCGTGTCAACGGAGACAAAAAAGCCAAAGTAACACGAATCTTACTTTCATGCAGCTATCAGGTAAATAGTACATACTCTGGAATGATTTTACACCAAAAATATTTCCACAATACTTGCTCTCATAGGGGTGGATCGAAGTCTTAAAACTTGAAAAACAATCAGAGAAGGTAAGTGTTCTCGGTTACGGTCTCTCTCAAGACCAGGCACCGGCACCGTGGTGCCGCGCACACATCAGAGCGACAGGGAGGGAACAAGACACCCAGTCACTGCCCAGCTCGGGGGCAGCAGCCTGCATCAGCCTGTGTCACCACCTCAACAGCATCAGGACCGGATGCAGGTCCTTTCACAGAAGACTTAGTTACATTTTCAACTTTAGAGTGACCCTGACAAACCTGGAGAAAACTTTTTAAAAGGTTTTCCTCCTGATTCTTTCACTTCCATGGTGTGTAATTGCTTTAATAAATATCAAAGGTCTAAATAAATATTTACAAATTATTTCTCTAACCTTAAAAAATAACTAAATGATAGATGCGAATTTGAGTTGGTCTAAGATCAGTCTTTGAAACAACATAAGTGGTGAGATTTAAAAAAAAAAAATAAGATTTCCTGGCTGTATTTTATATATCTATGTATAAAAAAATCATTATTCAACTATCGATCCATTCCTATTGGTAATGCTTCTTAATCCAGACATTCCGCAAAATACAGACTTTTTACAAATCACGGCATCTTTAATACAAGAAAATTAACATGCATTATTCTTCATTCTGTGTACAGTGATGGAGTTCATTAGTAGGCAATGACCCATTACTACAAACATAACGGCCTCTGTGAAACTTAAGTGCTTTCTTTCCTTTCAGTATTAATTTACAATATACGAGGTGACACCAGATAATAGGCAATCAGATGATATTTGGGGAGGGAAGGGAAGCATTAAAGAAATTTGTATGCCTCATCTATAATTTCATGGATGGAGAAAGGTAGTTTTTGGCTTTTTATTTGTTGTTTATCTTGTTACAAGCACTCATGTTAGGACAAAGATGAAATGTGCAAACTTTAAATTTTAAATATTCATTTTCTCTAAGATCCAGCTCAGTAAAAGATTACCCCGGTTCCCTGCAATTTTAAACTACAAGATCAAAGCTAATAATTTGTTATAAAAGTTATATATTGAAAAGAAACAATGAAAAACACAATTGGGAAATATTTAAGGAAAAATATGCAGGACTAGCACCTGCTGTGTCAACCCTGTTCCCTAAATTCAGCCACGTACCCACTGGCATAACCAGTAGACAGACGATGCCTTGAAACCGTAAATTAAGCTGAACAAAACCAGCTCAACAAGGTTAAGAAATAAATTTCACATCAAGGTAGTATGTTTTATTTCTGAAACAGTTCTGTAGTTCTTACATTCAGATCTATTTTAAATGCTTCTTTGTTAAACTCACTTGTATTCACCTGTTGTTTTTTAAAGATCTGTTGTTTAAAGGTTAAAATCTCTGTAAAACCTAAAAATGTTTTAAAATTTGCTGAAAATGCAACAAATTCTCAATTAAAATTTATTTAAAATAATACCCTCCACTGATGTTACTTTTACCCCCTGAAAAACTCCGGAGGAGCATTAACAAAAGATTTAAACTACTGTGCAAAATTTCTTCACGAAAAGTGTTTAAAGGCTGGTGCAAAATGGGAAGCAAATTCTAAACAATTTTGGCTTCTTGGAAACAAAAACCGCTTTGTCTGAGAAGAGTGCTCGTCGCCGGCGCCCGCGGGACCCGCCTTCATCTTTTCCGGCGACAGGTGCGCTTGTGCTCGGCGTGCCAGTGCTCCTGCTGGCACTTGATGGAGCAGTAGGACGTGTTCCAGCAGCAGTGGTACATGGCCTCCTCCTCGCAGTTGTAGCACTGCAGGCGAGAGAGCGGGGCCAGGTTAGCAGCGGGCACGGGGCTCTGTCCTTCAAGACTTTTGTGGCTCGGCCGTCAGCGGGATCATCCAGAACATCAAGTATGCTCTGTGCCCCAAGCTGAACGGCAGGGAACGGACGCTGCGGCCCTTGGCCAGCAAATGTGAGCTTACGTAGCGCATTAACTCCCCTCTCCTGCCCATTTCCCATCGGCACCCAAACCTAAATAGGATCCTGTACAGATGAGCGGGAAGGAAGCACCAGGAATCTCTCCCCGTGTGGACAACAACTTCACGGGCAGGATCAGTCTTCAGGAACTGTTTTGCAACTCTGGAGTCTACTGAAGACTGGCAGTTCCCAGGTAAGTGGTGGACAGTAAATGCTGATTAATTTTAGTCAATTTCAGCTTGTAGCACTTGAGCCACTGCCCCCCACTTCCAGCTGCATGGTGGCAGCTGTGTGTACGCAAAACTAACCGCATGAGTGCGTGCCCAAGGAAACGCTCAGAAAAGACCCAAAAAGTCCTTCAGTTTATGCCTCACACTGATCCTCAGCACAAAGCCTACAACAAAATTCAGCAACCCTGAAGAGGGAGAGAAACCCTGAAGAGTTCTAGAGTTACCGTGTTATTAGCTTCCAGTGTTCAGCGTTCAGCCGTAACCACAAAAATAAGGCATACTGAGAAAAAGGCTGACCCTGAAAAGGTCCTAATGGCAGAGATACAGTCTAGTTCTTTTAGTCTGAGCATCTTTAGGAGAGATGTGGAGAAAGTTAACAGGGTTTACCCCTGGGATCCCATGGGACTGTACCCTATGTCAGGCTCCGTGCTGAGCATGGAGCCTGCTTAAGATTCCCTGCATCCCTTTGCCTGCCTCCCCTGCTATGCTCTTAAAATTAAGAAAAAAAGAAAAACCAGAAAGAAAATCTGGAACAGAAAAGTCCATTAACTGAAGTGAAACGCTTATTCTCTACAGGAATTCAAAGACAGACCTGAGCTGAAGCCAGGACAACAGAAATTAACAAAACAGAAGAAAAATGAGCAGAACCTGAAAGACCTTGGGGAACACCATCTAAGGTACCAAGATACTCCTTCTGGGAGTCCCAGAGGGAGGAGGGAGAAAAGCACAGAGAGCAGGTGAAGAAATAATGGCTGAAAACTTCCCAGTCCAATAAAAGATATGAATGTGAATATCCAAGAAGCTCAATGAATTCCAAGTCATGTGACCTAAATAAGACACACATCAAGACACAGTATCTCCAAACTTTCAAAAGCCCAAGTTAAAAGAGAACCATGAAAGCAGTACAAAAATACCATACTGATGATCCTTTTGACATGTGACAGTTTATTACCAGATTTCTCACCAGACCAGAAGACCATGGGCTAATGATCCATTCCAACTGCTAAAAGGGAATACTGTCAATGCAGAATCCTATATTCAGCAAAACTGTTCTTGTAAACGTGAAGGACAAATTTTAACATTCCCAGATACACAGAAACTGAGGGACTTGTGACCTGCCCTGCAAGGAATGCTCAGGGGGGTCCTGCAGTGTGAAGTGACCATAAAGAGCATAGCAGAGATAAATGAAATAGAGTAGAAAAAGAGACAAAAATCAATGAAATCCAAAGATGGTTCTTTGAAAAGATCGACAAAATTGACAGTCTTTTTGCTAGATGAACTAAGAGAGAAAACCCAAATTCCTAAGATCAGAAAAGAAAGTGGGAAACTTACTCCTGATTCTACAGAAATATGGAGGATTTTAAGAGTACCATTAACTATTCCATATCAGAAAACTGAATAACCTAGACAAAATGGACAAACTCCCAGAAGCACAAAACCTACCAAGACTAACTCAAAGAAATTTAAGCAGACTGAATTATTAACAAAAAAATGTCTCAAAAAAAAAAGAACCCTGGTTTTGCTGGTGATGCTAGTAAATTCTAGCATGTAGTTTAACAGGAATTAATAGCAATCCTTTCCAGACTTTTCCAAAAAAACCGTAAAGAGGCAGAAACACTTCCTAAATTTATGCTGTGCACCCAGCATAACTCAGATATCAAAGGCAGACAGGCACACTACAAGAAACAAAAACTATAGATCGACATGACTTACGGACATTTGGATAGAATCCTCAACAAAGTATTAGCAAATGGAATTCAGTAGCATAATAGAAGGATTATATACCACCAAATTGATCAGTGTAATATGCTGCATCAATATAATGAGGAAAAAAAGACACATCATCTCAACTGATGTAGAGAAAGCATCAGACAAAAACGCAACACGGTTTCATGATAAATAACATGACAACAGAAGAGAAGGAGAAGAAAACTGCCGCAATATGAAAATCCCACAGCAAACATCACAGTAAGACAAAGTTTTCCTGCAAAGTCAGGAGAGGGGCAAGAAGGCACCCACTTTTAAACACTTGTATTCAACTACAGGAAGTTTTGGCACAGGATCAGGCAAACAAAAAAGACATCCATACTTGACAGGAAGAAATAAACTTTATCTGGTTTGCATATGACTCGATTACTTCAGAGTTATCCATACACAAGAGTCAACAACAAAGCTACGAGAAAAAATGAATTCCGCAAAGGAGCAGGATGGAAGGTCCTAAAATCAGCTGCATTTCTAACAGGAACAATGAGCAATCTCAAAAGGAAACCATGAAAAAAATTCTGTTTCAGATCAAAGACCACTAAAATACTCAGGAACAGGCTTAACTAAGGAGGGGAAAAGCTTGCACAATGAAGACTGCCAAACACTGCTGAAAGACATTAAAGACGTAAATGGATGGGGCACCTGGATGGCTCAGCCCGCTGAGCTTCTGATTTTGGCTCAGGTCATGATCTCATGGTCCGCGGGTTCCGGCCCCACGTCGGGCTCTGTGCTGACAGTTGTTAGCTCAGAGCCTGGAGCCTGTTTCAGATTCTGTGTCTCCCTCTCTCTCTGACCCTCCCCTGCTCATGCTGTCTTTCTCTCTCTCAAACAAATAAAAAACATTTAAAAAATATTTTTAAAAAGACATAAAGGGAAACACATCCCATGTTTGTGGACTGGAAGAATTCATATATCATTAAAATGCCCCTATTACACAAAGCAATCTACAGATTCAGTGCAATTCCTATCAAAATCCCCATGAAAGTTTTTTTGATATAGAAAACCCATCCTAAAATTCACATGCAATCTCAACGGACCCCACATAACCAAAATAATCTTGAAAATAAGAAGAAACTGGAGGACTCATACTTCATTTCAAACCTACTACAGTAACCAACCACGTAGCGTTGGCATAACCAGACATACAGACTAATGAATACAGAAAGAGACCCTCACGTATATAGTGAAAGGGTTTCTGACAAGGGGGCCAAGACCTCTCAAGGGGGAACCCACAGTCTTTAACCACACAGCTGGGGAAACTGCATCTCCACACACAAAGAATGAGGCTGGACACCTCCCTAACAGCATATACAGAAATTAACTCAAAATGGATCAAAGACCTAAAGGTAAGGCCCAAAACAGCAAAACTCTTGGAAGAAAACACAGCACAAAGCTTCACAACACTGGATTTGGCAATTTCTTGGATGTGACCAAAGGCACAGGCAACAAAAGAAAAGAGAGAGTGGACTTCATAAAAATCCTAAAGTTTTGTACAATAGGAGACACGGTCTACAGAGCAGAAAGGCAACTCCCAGACTGAGAGAAAACATTTGCCGATCGTGGACCTGGTGAGCAATCACTATCCAGAATAGATACAAAACTTTGAAACTAACAACCTGATTCACAAATGGGCAAGGAAGTTGAAGAGACAGGTCTCCAAAGATACAGTGACCAATAAGTGTGAAAAGATGTCGAATGTCAGTCACTGACCATCAGGGAAAGGTAAATCAAAGCCACAATCAGCGCCTCGCACTTGTCAGAAGGGTTACTATCTTGGAGAGAATCTGGAACCCCATGCACTGTTGGTCAGAGCGTAAGATGGCATGGCTGCTGTGGAAAGCAGTATTTCCTCAAAAGCCTAAAATAGAATTACCATATGACCCCACAGCTCCCCTTTGGCTATACACCCAAAACAACTGAAAGCAGGGTCTCAAAGCCTTGTGCCCACCCATGTCCACAGCAGCATTATTCACAATAGCAAAAACCAGGAAAAAATCCCCGTGTGTTCCCTGACAAGTGCTGTGCTGCACAGCCGAGTGCGGTGCATACACGCAGCAGAATGTTATTCACCCTGAAAAAGAAAAGGGAGTAACTTCCTTGTGCCACAATATGGATAAATCTTAAGGGCATAATGCTAAGTGAAACAGCCTGCTGTAAAAAAACAAATGTTTGCTCACACTTACAAGAGATACTTGGACGGTCACAGTTGTGAGGAGAAAGCAGAACAGTGGCCACCAGGAGGAAGGCGTGAGTGGTTAGCAGGTAAAATGTTTCCGTTTTACAGGGTGAAAAAGTGGTGGTAATAGTTGTACAACAGGAGTATATTTAATACCACTGAAGTGTACACTTAAAATTTACCATCTTCACCATTATTGTGTGTATTTATGCACAATTTTAAAAAACTCCACCTCACATCTCTTTCAACCACCCCCGTTTTTCTGCTCCCCTTCACAAACTACTTCAAAGAATTGCCAAACTTCCTACTTCCAATTATTCTCTTCCCTTTCTTTCTTAATCCTAAGGCACTCTTTCACCCGTCTCTCCCCACTGGATATGCTATTATCGAGGTCACTTATGATCCAAAACTAGTGCTCAGTTCTAAGCCTTCATCTTGTTGGGCAACATCTGAAGCCATTTTGACGGTCACAGCCTGGGAGGGGAGAAGCGGTACCCTGGCGCCCAGGGATGGACACCGGGGCTGCTGCTGAACGTCTCTGGTACACAGAGCAGCCTGTGTACAAGAAGTTCTTGGTTCAAATGTGAACAGAACTGAGAGTGAAAAACTGGTCTACACAGAGGTGAAGAATCCATCTAAGTGTGGACTGTTTCGACTCGGGGAACATAAAGACTACACTTTCAAGCTGAGCTGGCAACAGAAAGGTGAGACCCTGGACACGCAGCTGAGGACGAACTGGTCCTGACAAGGAAGAAAAGGATGTACTTGGTTTCGGCACCTGTATGTGCTCCATACAGACAGACTGACCTGTAGAGGTGGATGAGTCCCGGGGATGCGACCTGGGGACGCAGCCTACATGTGGTATTACGATCTTACTGCAACTTCAGTAAAAAGTCACTAAGAAAAGCATGGACAGCATGTTTTAATTTTGGAAATAGCTGAATGAGTCCCATTTGAGTTTAAATCCTGGACATGTACTAATTACTCACGTGATTCTTGACCAGGTTTTTTAACTTCTATCTTCATTTCCCCATCTTTAAATCACCATCCTTTCTTTCAAGTACCCTAACATTTACTTATGTGTGCGCTCCTTCATTCTTGATTCCCCCTTTCACCGTGGATGTATTCCAGAGGCGTGCCGTCTGTACTACATTCTCCTATTTGTATCTCATCTTAACATCAATTTTCTGGCATCTGGCACACCTGCTTGCTTTCTGTCAGACAATGTTGTATTTTTTCATAATGTGAGAGTTAATTATATTTACTCATCTACTAGACAGGACATGAGGAGAAGAGTGTTTCTTTAGTTACTCTGTTTATAATCTCATAAGCTCATAAAATTCCTCGTCTAAAAAATGAATATAAATGGGGGAGCCTGGGTGGCTCAGTCAGTTAAGCATCTGACTTCGGCTCAGGTCATGACCTCACAGTTTGTGAGTTCCAGCCTGGTGTCGGGCTCTGTGCTGACAGCTCAGAGCCTGGAGCCTGCTTTGGATTCTGTCTCATTCTCTCTCTCCCCCTCCCCCACTTGTGCTCAGTCTCTGTCAAAAATAAATTTAAAAAAATTTTTTTTAAAATAGGTATAAATGAAAGCAGTCTGGCGTTGATATGAAAACAGATGCACAGCTCAGTGGAGCAGAGCAGAGCCCAGAAATGAACCTGCACTATCCGCTCGATTAGTTTTCCAACAAAGGAGAGGGAAAGAACAATGGGAAGAAGGCAGTCTCTTCAATAAAAGGCAAAAAACTGGACAGCCACGTGCAACAGAATGAAACTAGATTTACCTTTGTTGTCCAAACACTAATGTTAACTCAAAATGGATTAAAGATTTGAATGTAAGACCTGAAACCATAAAATACTAGAAGAAAATAGGCAGTAAAACTCCTTGACATCAGTCTTGGCGAGGATTTTTTGGATCTCACACCAAAAGCACAGGCAATAAAAGTAAAATTAAACAAGTGGGTCAAGTCAAACTAAAGAGCTGCTCTGCAGCACAGGAAATAAAATGAAATGGCAGCCTATGGAATGGGAGAAAATATTCTGCAAATCCTGTATCTTGACATTTGTGTTCCAGGCCTCAAATAAACTATATAACTCAACAGGAAAAAAAAAAATCACCTAATTTTAAAAAATTCTAAAGATCTATGCAGGTCCTTGCCACTCATCATCAGGGAAATGCAAATCAAAACCATGATGAGATACCACCTCACACCTGTCAGAGTGGCTAAAATTAACAACTCAGGGGCGAGGATGTGGAGCAAGGGGAGATTCCTGCACTGCTGGTGGGAATGCAAAGTGGTGCAGCCGCTCTGGAGAACAGTATGGAGGCTCCTCAACCAATAAACAACAAAACTACCCTTTGATCCAGCAAATCCCATTTCTAGGTATGTGTCCAAAGGAAATAAAATCCGGATACTGAAAAGATAACTGTGGCTCCACGTTCACTGCAGCACATTCACCAAAACACACGACCTGAGTGTCCACACGTGGGTGGATGAACAGAGAAGACATGGTATGTATGTACACACAGCGGAATACCATCATCTCCGAGAAAGGAGATGCTGCCCAGCGTCACTTCGGTGTGGACTGAGATAAACAGCAGGTCTAACGGCGCAGCTTCTGCTCATTCACAGCTGGAAAACACTAGAAAAAGCAGTGTCCTCATTCCCTACTACAGCCGCCTCTTCCCATTTGGATCCTTTAAGTAAACTTACGGGGGTTCTCCCCATAGATCTACTGCCCACTTTCTAACCTTTCTCTGGTCTTTGCGTGAAGACAGAATCACAGACGTAGTGCTGGGGATTTGTGCTAGTTACTATTTTGAGCACACCATCATTCCCATCTAGTGCTATTCATCTCATTCATCTGCATTTCCTACCAAGTCATCTTCATTGATTCTCCTGAATTGTATGCAAAGTTCCCCTTTTGCTTTATTTATCACAGTATTTATAATGTTTACTTTCCTGAGGAAATATTTACTGTAATCTAAAGACTCTCTTCAGAAAATGTAGGGATGGGGGCGCCTAGGTGGCTTAGTCGGTTGGGCGTCCGACTTTCGCTTGGGTCATGATCTCACGGATCGTGGGTTCGAGCCCCGCATCGGGCTCTGTGCTGACTGCCAGCTCAGAGCCTGGAGCCTGTTTCAGTCTGTGACTCCCTCTCTCTCTGACCCTCCCCTGCTCACGCTGTCTCTCTCTCTCTCCTAAAAGTAAATAAAACATTAAAAAAAAAAAAATGTAGGGATGAGCACTGGATATTGTATGGAAGCGATGAATCACAGGAATCTACCCCCCAAACCAAGAGCACGCTGTATACCTTATATGTTAGCCAACTTGACAACAATATTTTTTAAAAATGTGGTCTGGATCAAATGAAGAATCATAAAACTTCTTACAGTTGCTCATTAAAAAGAACAAGTTAGGGGTACCTGGGTGGCTCAGTCAGTTGAGTGTCCGACTTCAGCTCAGGTCATGATCTCAACACTGTGTGGGTTCAAGCCCAGCACTGGGCTCTCTACTGACAGCTCAGAGCCTGGAGCCTGCTTCAGATTCTGGGTCTCCATCTCTCTCTGCCCCTCCCCCCGACTGTGCTTGATCTCTGTCTCTCAGATATAATAAAAACAAGTTATGAGTTTTTGGTAGTAAAACGTTTTCACCACCAGTTAGCTGAGATGGGTGGACACATCCACCCAGAACTCCTGATCTAGGGGAAGATGACAATGACAAACAAGACACTGAATAGGGGACAGTCTGTCAGATTCTAGGTAGAGTTACAGGCCAGTGAGCTGTTACTATCAAAAAGGAAATCAGTTGAAAAGAGTCTAATGTATAAATGCTGGACAGCGAAATCTGAAAATCTTTAACTTGCCCCTGGGATGCTGACATTTACAGTCTGATGACCGAGAGGCCAGCAACCAGGCATTACAGGCAGACGGCAGAGCTGGCCAGCTCATCCACATACACCCCAGCACAGCAGACGCGTCACGTAAATTAGATGCACTGAATCTCTACTGATGGTTCACAATCTCAATTTAACATAATAATCCTGAGCGATCCTCGGTCATGTGGATTCACAGAGAGAACATTTCAATAAAAATGTTAAACTACTTAAAGCTGGCAATTTCACATTTGATCTTATTTCAGGTATAAACTTAGCACATTCCACATACGTCTTCCTGAACTAATTTTCATCACTTGTATACTGGGTGGTACATTTTCAGAAGAACACTAATACTTACCCACTGCTTCTTCTTGGTCTGAGAAATCAGTTGTTTGTGCTGTGTTGCTAGCTTCTTGATTTCTTCTACAAATTCTTCTTTACACTTTTCCTTTACTTGCTTACATTTTCTGTCCATCTCACCCTGCATATTGGCTACAGCTTTATTTACAGCTTGTCGTTTCTCCTCTTCCATTTCGGAACGCAGCTGAAATGACAAGGGTAGCCCCTAACAGCCCTCAGCTCACACAGACCATCACCCTGAAGAGAACCCTAATGCACAGCACCTACTTAGAGGATACCCCTCCTCCCTCCGTGCCATCAAGAGCTGCCAATGCCTCCAACACAAACACAAGTGTTGCTGTTAACTGAAATGTTATCAAAGGTATCTTATTATGTTCCTTGTTTTACAAAGGAGCTGCCTGGCAGATGCCCAGCTGAAAAGTGCTAACCCACCACTGGAAAACTCTCGGCATACTCAGGGTCCTCATGGGGCCAGCTTTACCTTTTCCAGAGCTTCTCGTACAACTCTTTCTGTTTCTCGCTTGTGGTCAGACTTCATTCGGTCTTTAAAGTCATTGAAGATCTTAGTGTATTTGTCATGGCACATGCTTTGACACACTCCATCACCGGTGGTCTGTGTGCTTCGGTGCAGCATTCGTGGTGAAGAGGCACTTAACTTCTTGGTCTGAGTGGACACAGAAACCTTTTCGATTGGCTGAGGCATGGTGGGGATTTCCTGGCTGGAACTCACTGCTTCAGTTTCAGGCTCTGGTTCCTAAAGGGTAAGGACAGTGCTCAGATGTGAAACAAAGCCGCCAGACAGTCCACCAGTTAATGAACAGGCTCTTTTAGGATAAAAATACAGGGATACGCATAAAAAGCCACCTAATAAACTACTCTTAAGAAAACTGTAATTAAGATGGGAAATTCTGTTATGTAGATTTTACCACAATTAAACAAACCCCCAAAACTTCAATCAATTAATAGCGACAGTAATTCTAAATAGGATCTTCGTTTATAATTTCATTGCATATAATACTATGGTCTTTGCTTTTCAGATAGCCTAAGTAAAAATAGCATTTAAAACTTAAACCACTACCAGGTTAGACTCACTTCTTTGAACTAGATAACAGATACCCTAAAATTCTAAACCAGTTTTCCCTAATACCTGGTTTTAGAGCATTAACAGATTATATAATTTGAAAAGGTTGAGCTTAACCAGATTCTCCTCCAGTTTTTAAATGTTGACCTAATTGACACAGTGGATAAATGCTTTGTTTTTAATTACGCTACGAGGAACCAGCAGAGTTGCAGGAAATGCAGCCAAGTGCCCTCCCACTGAGGCAGCCTCAGTCTGAAAATGGAGACCTCCAGTTTGTGTGCGGCTTATTCTATGGATAGTAGACGGGTTCCAACCTGGTTGCTGTTATTTGATGGCAGTGCGTTTTCACAAGTGCCGTACATTGGAGGAAACTGTCTTGACCGTAACTTGGGAGATATTTCCTGTTGCAATGCCACCTGGACACTGCAAGGCGGGCCACTTACTTCCTTTTTGGGTTCCACACTCTGATTACGTCGTCCTTTCTTTGCTCTTGGTTCTTGAGTGACTTTTAGCTGTGGGCATCATAAAAGTAACAGCACATTACTCCAGAAGCTGTGAAACACATCTGTGCTGACAACACTGGCCACGGCCCACACGGAAGCAGCAAGGAACCTGCTCCCTTGTGCACTTAGCACACCCACGGCCGCGTGGTCACCACCCTCGGAACTCCCGCACGGGTGCAGTGGCGGGCGCCAACGTGCCTACGGCAGAGGAGAGGATCAGGGTTGCTGGGGGTTTATCTGCCTGAACTGGTTTCGATTTCTGTGGAAGAGCCCGTTGCCCATTTGTACGAAAGGAAGGAGACCTGTCGGAAGGTGCTCATCCCGGTGAGGAGCACGCGGACGGCGCTCACACTCCCCGTGACCAACAGGGACACCTACCTGCTCGTTACTGGTGGAGGAGATGCTGGACTCTGCCTCCTCCTCTCCTCGGTCCTCGTTCTTAGACTTCCAGAACCTTCCTTCACGAAGGAAGCGCTGGTGCAGCTCCAGCTCGTCACAGGCCTTCTTCCAGCCCATGCTGCGCTTCACATGCAGACGGTGGACGTTGACCGTGATGTCCTGGATGTTCTCAGAGGGAATCCAGGCCCTTCAAGTAACAGCAGAGGTACAGTTAGAAATCCCAAAACGGCAGCAGAGTCTCCCCATTGCAAAGTAGGACCAGGGTGATTCCGCGATGGCCAGGGGGCAGATCCGCAGGGAGCAGGAGACAGGTTCTCAGAATGGGGCTGACTCACAAATACCTCAAAGCCCCTGAGCTGTCACAGCCTTCTTCAGCCTGGTTAGCTGTTCCTAAGTCCTTTTTTCAGCGTCCCTTCCCGTTGCTACTCTGTTACTCAAGCCTAGCTGTGTGTGTGGATCACAACTGCCGAGGCGTGTGCCCGCAGATACACACACACAAGATGAGGGCAAAC